TCCAAAGTTGAAAACCCAGGTGAGGCTTGTCTCACATAGCAGAACTCCTATGATGTAACACTGGATTTAACTTTCCAATCAATTTCAAATGGTCAAGAGTATTAAAGAAATTTCCCCATCTTGTGAAATAGGTTTAGTTCAGAACAGGTAAATTGTAAATTATCAAACTGAATTACTTTTTTTTTTCCTTTCTATCGCCATCAAGTTTATTGGCATGTGGTTGAGTAACATTTAAGGAAAATAACCTTATTTTAATGCTTCATTTTAATTTCTATTTGGGGAATTTTCAGTTTTATTAATTACAAAATCTTAGAAATTAATTGGTACAGTTTTAAACTTTTCTTTTGCCATAAAATTGATTATGACGCATGGGTATTAAGGTATAATTGTTATTACAAGTTTAAAATGCATGTTGTTCTAAAATGCATGTTGTTCTTGTCAAATGCCATCAAGTCAATTCCGACTCATAGCGACCCTGTTGTGTAGGGTTCCTGAGGCTTTACATCTTCGAGGGAGCAGAAAGCCTCAACTTTCTCCCATGGAGTTATGGCAAGCTCAAACTGCGGACCTTGTGGCTTGCAGAGCAGTGTTTATTGTATGGGGCCACTGTGCTCCCTTAACATTTATAGTTCAATATTTTTAGTAACTTTGTTAAGTTGTGAAACCTTCACCATAATCTGTTAAAATTTATTTTATTGATGTGAATATATATATATATATATATATATATATATATATATATATAAAACTCCTGGTGTGACTCTGTGGGCTAATGCACTGCACTGCAAAGCCAGTTTGAACCGCAAAGAAGTTAGCCATTCAAGCTCACCAGCCACTCCATGGAAACCCTAAACAGGATCTCTATGGGTTGGAATCGACTCAAGTCGGAACCGACTTGACGGCACTTAACAACAACAACAACAATATATATATATATATATACACACACACACACATACATGAGCATAGTGACTCTGTAGGCTAAGTATTGGACTGTAAACTACAAGGTCAGTGGTTTGAGCCCACCAGCTATTCCATAGGAGAAAGATGAAGCTCTCTGCTCCTGAAAGGATTTTTACAGCCTCAGAAACCCCTATACAGGGCAGCCATGAGTTGGCACTTAACACCAACATATGTATCTACATACATACATACATATGATAACAGATAAGCTATTTCAGCAGTCTTGTACATACATACTTAGTGTTGTTGTTACGTGCTGTTGAGTCTGTTCTGTCACCACTATCTGTTTCTATATTTTTACATCAATCTTTTTTTTTAAGTGTTTTATTGTGAATTATATGATAGTTTACATGGGAGAACATTAGTTTTACATTTATTCTATCGTACATCATATCATTGCCATGGTTACAATCCCCTCCATGCATCATCAACCAACCAAAGGGTACCCTGCAAGCCTGCCCCCAAAATCCACCACCCCCCCTCAGTCTTCAGTACACACTCTCCCTCTCTGGATCTAAAGTCCCCAGATGCTCCATTGCTCCACGTCATTGTCTCTGCCTCCATCTCGGGCATCACTGCTTCTCTGGGTAGGGTCCTACTCTCTGCTCTTCTCCATTGATGGTCCCAGGGACCTCCGCTCCCAGACTGAAAAGTTATTGGCTCCCTTTCTTGCTGTACAATGTCTACCTTTACATTTCCAACCTTCACAATCAGTCCTGATAACAATTATTCACTATTGCATCACAAGAGACCCATCTGCATTTCATTTCATCAGCTGCGCCTAGGCAGATTAGATACTACTCACTGGAGATTCTACCTTCCTCCAGGC